GTTAATGAATAAAAATAGTTGAAATTCTAGATTTCTATAATTTCCAAAATAACGGTTAATTTTATTTTAGTATTGTCATAGTACCACGTTATCCAATTCATTTTTTGCGATATTTAAAAGTTGTTAATAGCGTTTCTATGAAACCTATCAAAAAATTGAAGTTTTAGACGTCATAAATTTCGAAGAATTAAATTTGTTTAAGGCGTGAAATTTGAGAAAATTAAAACAAAATTACACTGTTTATTATTAATTATTTTAATATTAATGTCAAATTGAATAACTCTGTATATAAAAATAACAAATAAAAAATGAACTAATAACTAGAAAAATTATTAATTAAAATTTTATTTATTATTAAATTTCTTTAGAAATATCAAAATTAAATAAAAATTTAATTTATCTAATTTCACTCTAGTATAATGATCGTTTTATTGCGGTTATTTCTACAGAATACAGTTTAGATTTTTAAATTATTAATTAAATTAAACCGCATTAAAATTACACAATTATTTTCAGGGGATTATCAAATTTAAGCTTTGAATGTCACGCTATTCAGTCACTTGAAATACTTCCATATTATGAAATGTATACTGTTTTTTGGAACTTCAGCTGAACACTCACAAAATCATAACATAATATAATATATAAACCCCCCGTTTTTATATAGACTAATTAAAAATTCGGAATGCCTTGTTAAACCGAAATTGTAATCTGACTAATTAAATAATTGTTATATCACTTTTAATGGTAGTTGATTATGCTAGCACTCGAGCTTGACTGTGTTGACTTTTGAAAAATATTTTGTTCGAAATTTGACGAAAGGGCAATGTATGCGTTTTTTAAGTTCTGCGTAATGCACGAGTTTGACAGGCTCTTAAATTTGATTTTTGTAAAAAATATGTAGATATTTCAACAATGAATATTAAGATCAAATACATCTTCATATAATAATCCGACAACAGTTAAAGTGTTGACAGTCGTATACATGACGTATAATACATGCACTGTATGTGAATGGCACAATTTAAAACCGTTAAAATATGTACATTAATACATACATATTCAATTTTTGCATAGTCATTTAAAATTTTGCGTTAATCATGTTGCTGAAAGTGAAATTAATCTTACAAATTCTTAAGAAAAATCCAAACATAATTTTTAATAAACGAAAAAAAAAAAAAACAAAAACACTTTTGCCTGCTTAACGTTATCGGAAATTCAAGTATGGTAACAAATTTCCACTAATATCAATATTAAAAAAGAAAAGCACATTGAAATTTCAAGCAATTTAATTGAGTACATACTCGTAAAACTAACGAAAGTTTACCGTGAGTTGAAATTAATTCACCAAGGGAAAGAACCGCAAATTAAAATTGTCTAAAATTTTTTACTAATAAACAAAATAAAAAGCAAAAACAAAAAAAATAAGTTTTTGTTTTATGATTCGTGGACATACATTTATTTTTTTACATACGTACATATAAACATATGTGGATAAGGTGTATCATGAAAATGTGCACTATAATTATTTTATGGTTCGATCCTGATAGTTTGGTCTTTTGTCGTTCGCAATTTAGTCACTTTGTTTTTAAATATTAAAAATTTTAGAAGATATTTTGAAATTTGAGAAATCCTATTTCAAAAATGAGTAAATGCTTTACAATTTTACATATTTGGAAAAATAACACATAAAATTGAAAATATAAGAACTCTAACTTGAAAATGAAAACAAAAAATAGATGATAGATTGAGATACCGAATAACGATAGTGAAATCATTATGGGACACCTTATGTTATTATTACCATGTTATCGGTGAAAACAATCACATAAATATATAAAGCTACGTAATTTATACGATTAATAATAATTCATTCAAAAGATGGAATAAGTATTAACAGAGGTGGACTATAAAATGATTAGAAATATGAATTTTGGTACAATTGAAATTTTGTGCTTAACTTAAAAAGTAAAATGTACTTTTGTATCATAAAAACGTAAATAACCTTAAATTTCAATTCAGTATTTCATGCTTTATGTAATTTTATTGCTTGAAAATCAACATTATGAGATCATCTGTTATTCTCTGTCTTCTCTTTAAAATTAAAACTCTCTAATTTTTTAAAAAAATATTTTAAGGACACAATACGAAATTAAATTGAAATGTGATGATTAAGTTAAAGTGAACAGTACCTATAAGAATAATTTGTGTTAATATTAAAAAATGCAAAACCAATTCAAGTTCAACCACTGAAATATAAAAAGAAAAAGCTTTTTTTTCTGTTATTCACCGCCGTAATCACGGTTCAATAAGGTATTTATTTTGTTATTCCATTCAATTATATATTCTAATGATTTCAACACCAATATAAACTTGCATGCCATAATAAAAAATAATTCAGTCTTAAAAAGTACAAGCAACAGATAGTATTAAAAAAAAAAATAAATAATAAATAAATTTTTAATATCGGATTATTTAAGAATAACAAGAAATATAACGGTATTTATAATACTAAGAAAAAACAATAAATATTGTAATAAATAATTATAATTAGAAAAAAAACTGAAAGTAAATAAAAACTATTATAATATGGTGGTAGCAATAATGCCAAATACAAAATATCCTGAAATTCTTGAAAAAAAGGAATATGTGGGTAATGGAAAAGAATTTCGTATAAAATCTAATAACAGATATATTTGTATAATTGGTAATGAAAATCGAATTTTAATTGAACATAATTTGGGAAATTTAGAAATAATTGGAAATACAAATCGTATTAAAATATTTAATAATTCCGGTAAAATATCATATACAGGAAATAATGGTAAAATATGTATGAGTGAATTATCGTCAAATACCGATGTCAATTATCACGGTAATAATGGAACACTTAAAATAGTAGATAATCAAATATTTTGTGAAAATTTTTATAAAAAATATAATCATAGTCATAATAATGAAAATTGTGAAAATAAAAAATATCAAACTAGTAATATGGCATCATCATTTCAATCAAAAAAAAATACCAGTAAAAGTGAATCCCCTACAAAAAATAAAACAAATGAAAAACAACAAAAAAATGTTAAGAAAGATGTAAATGGTGATCGTAAAACTCATGATGATATTGGTAATGTTGATGATGATGATGATAGTAATGTTAAAATTACCGGATGTTGTAGTAATCAAACTATTAAAATAACATGTAATAAATCTAATAAAAATTTTAAAGGAAAATTAATTAATTTAGGGAATCGTTGTCATTCTTCATCAAATGGAATTAATTTAATTATTGAAAATAATATTAATATATCAAATAATTTATGTAAATTAAATAAAAAATCCAAGTCAGCTGAAAATTTAGTCAAAAATATTATAAATAATACAATAAAAACAATTTAGTCTTAATATACAAGAAAAATCTAGTAGTAGAATATAATCTAGTTAATAAAAAAACAAATATAGAACGGAAAAGTATTAAAAAAAAATTAAATATGTAACTGCAGCTAATTATTATATTATGCTTATGTATTCAATTTAAAGTAAATTTTTAAGTAAAATTAGTAAAATTTGAAAAACTGAAATGTAATATTTATTTAATAAATTATTTATGAAAATTAATTTATATAATTTCTTGAAAACAAAATTGTTGAAAAAAAAATTACGATATTAAACTGGCTTACTGAATAAAGTAATTTTTTTGGGAATTATCAGAAAAATTTCTGATAATTGAGATGTTTACTCTTTTATACATTAATATCATAGCATAATTGAATTAATTACCCATAATTGATAAATAAGTATGCATGCAAACGTAAATGCCATTAAATTAAAATTTTTTCCACATGACATTGAAATTTTCCACTGAAAATTCTTTTATGAATAATTTTGACTGATATTAGAGTTTTTTCTGTTGCGCTATTGAGTGTTCTACTTCGCTATTGGGAGGAGCATAGTGCTGGTGTTCAATATTGTAGATAATCTCGAACCAGTTTCTTACGTCATTGAGTTTACTAGGTAGGTGACGAGCCTATTAGAGTTTAAGTACTATTACATATCCTATATATGTACATATGTAAATAAATACAATTAATCCAATTTATAATTTCACAAATTGATTTTATGTATATAAAAAAAAATTCTAATAAAAAACCCTAAATATTATTAATAAATTAATAACAAAGAGTCAACAACAATCATTCCAAGAAAAAAATTACCAATATCATTTAAAAAAAATGACGTAGTTGTAAAAATATTTTTTCCTTATCAATAATTTATTGTAAACAACAAATAAATTTCTCATTAAATTTATATATGATGTAAGTTTACTTTAATGGCTATTAAATTTTAACATGGTCGGTCAAATAAATTTCTAATTTGAGATTAAATTTTTGCTATTTAATTATAAAATTTTATATTTTCCGAGATATCATCAATAAAATATTAATAATAGTGATGTTTCCAACTTAAAACTACTATTTTTAGATATGAATTTTCGTTCATTACATTATTCATTGGGAATTGCTCATCTGTTCTTAATCCATTTTCTCATTTTATCCACTATTACATGAAATATTTTGTTATAAATTAAAAACAATGATTAAAATATGTAATTTTTCAATAATTAATTTTATCTATTTAAAATAATTAATTAATTTATAAAAGAATACCCGATTTTTAAATAGTTTGTAATTTTAACTAGAATGCAATATTAATTTCGTATTTTTAAAATTGAAAATATGAAATACTTTTTAATTGGATTAAACTGGGAAATTTTTTTTATATAATACATAAAATAAAAATAATTATTTATAAAAAAAATTAAAAGGAAATTAATTAATAATTTATCGGTGATTTACCCATAGAATAAAAATTTTTTACACGTTACAATTCTACATTGTTTTATTTTATAATCACGGTAATTTAGAAAAGAAAAAATTTCTATGCAATAAACGTTGTTTTAAAAGAACAAACATAAAATGTATATGAGTAGGTATGATATAATTAATATTACCCCAATAGATTAGAAATATTATTTTCAAATTAATATTGTAAAATTATTCTATTGCTAGAATAAAACTAATTTCAAGAACTTTTACTTTTAGTTTTATAATCAATTATAGACTCGTTATCAATATCCAGTAAAATTTGTTGCTTATCTATTTCGTATTTCACTCCAAAATGAAAATTTATCAATCATTACATTTAGTATATATCGACTGTAGATAGTAATAGGCCATATCCAGAAAAATAATATAGATTCCTTAAATTAGTACTAAAAAAATTCAAACATTAAATCTTATTTATCTATTAACTCTTAGACTATTAAAATAAGATCTATTATTAGACTTACTACTTCTGCACATTTTTTTTTTATATATTAGTCTTTGATATATAATAATATTACAAAATTGAATTGAAAGTTTTCTTTTATGTTGAAATAATATTAGTATTATTAAAATAACGCAAAAATATGCTATACAAATAATCAAACATTTTATTTTCGATAAAACAAACTCGATCAGTTAATGAATTAAATTTTCCAAAATTTGTATTTTATGGAGCTTTTCTCTTAAAATAGTACCTTTTTTAATTTCTTTATTTACTATTGCATGATTTCTTGTTTTTAAATGGCTCGCAATAATAATTATGGTAATAACATTATATAATAATAATCATAGTAATAATAATTATAGTAATGCGAAATTAATTAAATACAACTAAAATCTATATAAAAATTTCTGTAATACAGAACAAATAAATTGCAAAAAAATAAAATAAGAGAAAATTTAATTTTCAACTTATTAAATTTATTTAATTTTAACAATAATATAAATGCAAACCTTAAATGATCAGATCATATTATTAGAATATAATTTTGAAGCGCACTTATCACTACAGGCAGCACAATCTTGATAAATAAGTTGTTCTCTGCTAAAAACTAAATGTTTAACATGATCTAAAGTTATAACTGCTGATCTTTCATATATTTGCGATGAAAAACTTAACAAACCGCAAGGGCACAACGGACTTTCTGACATAATATCAACAAGTATACTTGGAACTGTTCCTGAATTGTATCGTAAACTTAAAAAAAAAAATTAATATAACCAATTTTAATTTCTAAACAAATAAAATTCAAATTAATAACAAACCTTTTAGACTCAACGACACGAGCGACCATTTCCCAAAGAGGTGGTATACATCCTTTTGCTTTGCTTATAATTTGTACGTCAACAGGTTGTGATAAAAAATTGTTATTCCAAACATCTAATGTGTCCAAGTGAATATAATTAAGACTATTTGGTAAAGATTCAAGCTTATTTGAACAAAGATGTAAAAACCTAAAAAAAAAAAGAAAAATATAAAAAAATATTACATTGGTCACGAAATTCTTACTTTAAATTATTCAGTCTTCTAATTGCAAAAGGAAGTTTTCTTATGTTATTTTCATTTAACTTTAGCGTTATCAAGTTTTTCAGCTTAACAATATTGTATGGAAAATAAGATAACTAAAAAAAAATAAATTTCAAAGGGTAAATTTATATTTTAAATAGCACAATATTACCTTATTTTTACTTAAATTTAATGATCTTAAACTACTTAAGATATTTCCATTTGTAATCCATTCCCAATCTTTCAGTGATTCATTTTCTCCCAAATTATTATTTGACAGATCTAACTCTGTTAATTTAAGTTTCCCGAGTTCCTTAGGTATTTTAGAAATACTATTTTCGCTTAAATTTAAATTTGTTAAGTTTTTTAAAAAAAGAATTTGTGAATCAACTTTAGGCCGGTTTATACCAGAAATCTTAAATGAAATTAATGAATTTTAGACTTAAATTATGCTTATTGGCTTACCGTTAAAATTTCTACTGTTTTGGGAATTCCGTGAATAGGGAACTCACTTTTTTTCAAAATGGTAAACTTTTTAACGGGATGTGATTTTTGTGGAACACTTGTCGTAGCTAGTGTGCTTAAACCGATTGCGTTAAATTCAGTTTTTCCCTCTAATCCCAACTTCAAAGTCGCCAAAAACGATTTCAATTGAATAGGATTGCAGTTGATTAAAATATAGTGTTCAGGAACTTTAAACGAAATAGTAGCTTTCCCATCATTAATGAATTTTGTAAATATTTTATTTATATTATCTTTTACTTTATATCTAATTCCATTTTTATGTTGTGGAGTAAAGAGCATAATAAACAATTGACCATCCTCTTTTCTGGGTGGATGAAATCCTACCGCCAGAGTTGATTTGACATATTTGTTTGATAAAGAATTAGGTAGTTGTCTATTAATAATTTGAGTTTCACATGGAATTTTCATTATTTTGTTTTAAAATTTCAAAATAAGTGTTTAGTTCACATTTATGGAACATTACTTTTGACAATAACAAATTTTGGTTTTTCTAATCAATTGTCAGTGTCAGTTGTTGTGTTATCTATATTTGATTGGAGCAGAGTTGGAGACCACCCCGAATACGTGAAAGAACTGAAAAAACGTAAATAATTTATCTAAAATTACATCTTTTTTAGAATTTAAATTTAAGAAAACCGAAAATGCCAATAATCCATAGTTCCTATAATTTATAATATAGGTGAACCACATTTTAAAGTACCTAATGGAAATATTTTGAAAGGAAATTTTGTTTATTATAATATGAGTTCATTAAAACTTAATTATTTTTAGTACATATTCGATTTAGTACTACATTGTATTAGGGTTTCGTTCAGAAACAGAAATGACAATTCACATTCTTAATAAAGTTTCTTTTTCAATGAAAACACCTCATGTCAATTTTTTTTTATTATTTATAAACAAAGTAGGCTTTCATTCATTTGCAATTGAGTTAAAAATCCGGTAACCTCGTAAGCTTTATTGATCAAACTTCAAATAAATAAAATCAAAGTAAAATGTCTTTTGAATCATGGATCAATCTTATAAAAGAAGCAGAAAAAACGTCCTTGATAAATGGAAATGTAAGAAAAATTCATTATAAATTTAAAAATGGAAAAGAAATGGTTGAAGAATATAGTTTGGAAACAGGAGTAATACAAAGGCGAGCATGGAAAATATGCAAAGAGTTAATGGGAGATCCAGTTTGGGATATTGAATTAGGTGAAGTTATGAATGTACCTTTAACACAAGATCAACAAAATTTAGTTGTTAGAGAATCAAATACAGAACCAATTTTAACTAAGCGAATAACAAAAAAGAATATTGAGTGGCGTATCAGAAATCTACCATATCCAATTGATAATTATATTGTTATAGCTGATGCTGATAAAAAATCAATCATAGTTAAAACAAAAAATAAGAAATATTACAAAATTATTGACATTCCTGAGTTGAATAGATGTAACACATCACCAGATCAAGAGAATATAACGATTCATCACCAATATAGTACATTGATTATAACAGTAAGATATAAATATTAACTTGAATAAATATATATTTTTAATTTTTATACCAATTCACCCAATGAATTGATTTTTTTTTAAATTTTAGTATAAAAAACCTAAAATATTATGTGAAATGGAAGTCGCTGTTCTTAAAGTTTTACAGGATGTTGAAACGGAAACTGATATGGAAGATTTAATGAAGGAACTTATGCAAACAAGAAATCAATAAATCGATGTGAAATATCGAAATCTATTGTTTAATTACAAAAATCTTGTTTTTTTTTTCATCTGAAGTCATTTGGAATTTTTGACTGATCGTGAGCTGTCAAAAATATCCTTAAAACTGGGAAATTGATGCTGTCACGAGCTAACAAGGTTGTGCGATCTCAGTGTCAAAGATCGCAGCTCACGAAAATATATTGACTGTCATAAATAATGTAGCGGAACATAGTCGAACTTTACGAAACATGTACCTTTGAGGGAGAATTTATCCAGGTTTGAATTGTCGTCCAAAAAATCGCGTCACAGATTCCGTGGAATGGGCAAGAAAAGGCCCTTTCTAACCATCAACTCATCATTAATTGGGTTACATTTTACTGATTCTAATGTGAATTAAGAATAATTTCTCAAAAATATTTGCTTTAGAAAAGCTAACTGAAAAAATATGCCAGTATATACATATTTTGGAATAGTAGAGTTTTATGACATCCACATAAATTAGCTTTCAATAGTCTCAATATGACTAAGTAAACTTAAACTAACTATTTTCTTAAATATATTGAAATCCAGGTTAGGGATCATAATATATATAATCTAGAGATAAATCGTATGAAATGGCAATTCTTGAACCTATATGTTACAGTATTGCCAATAAATTGCTGCAATGTACATTTAGGTACCAAGAAGAAGAGAAGATTAGTAAATAAAATCACTGCGTTATCTGCCCAGAATTATATATCATTTCGGTTTCGATCAAACCCTTCGCTTCTATTCTGGAGCATCTTCAGAAAAAAGATTTTTAAAAATTAATATTGATTATTTTACTTCAATTACAACTTTTCGATTACTTCAGTTGTAGAAAATAATTTGTAATACATAATATACAGTTATTTTCTTTTCTATTTTCTTTTAATGCTAGAATATTAATCATCCTTGCAAGTTGGCAGTACTTGATTAACTATATAAACAATGCAATAAGGTGACCAAATATTTTCAAATCATAGAAGAACACTTCAAATTTATAAAATAATATTGCACAACTTTTGTAGGTATTGATGTTAAGTGCAATATTTGTTAATATTTTTAAAAAGATTAAATATTTGTTAATATTTTTAAAAAGATGAATTGTAAATTATTTAAAACATATGTGTATTTAATCTTATTTTTAAATAGAGTAAGAGTCTTTTATGACTCAAAAATATAATAAAATCACGATTGTCTGAATAAAATTTTTGTAGAATCCAGTTAAGTGATAAGTACAAGATGTGAAGCGTACATATTTGATACAACTGTAATTTAAACAGTATCTGTGTACAGAGTTAAACATGGAAACACAAAATTTTTTCCGTTTAGTGATCTGAAGATTACAAAATACTGCTGAAACAATTATAATGTAGAGCATGAATCGAAAATTATGAGCATTTGGTCACTATGAATGCATATCATATTATACAAACAAACTTCATGGCAAAAAAAAATACTAATTATAAAAGAATAACATATTTTTTTAATTAAAATTATCAATTATAAAAATAAACATAAATAAGTGAAAAATTAAACATGAGCGGATATGAAACCAACCTATCACCGTATGCACCGGTGAATAAACCGAATAAATTTCCAGAAATAACAAAACCTAATATAATTGGTTTCTTCAGTGTTGATGGAAATCGGCAATTTATTCCAAATGCATCAAATCTAAAATATTTAGTTTTACCCACCAATTTGCGGCAATTGTCAATGGATTTAAATGCTGAATACGAAAACAGAGTTCCCAAATCAGAAACCCAAAATGAACGTATAGATCATTTGCTCAAATTCATATTAGAAAATAAAACGAGATTGTATCATGTAAACGAACAACCTTTACACCAAAACGATGATAAATTGTTAGCATGTGATTTTATATGCTTTCGCGGTCTTTTAAGATTACTTATGTGTAGTCCTTATGATGAAAGAGAAGACTGGATTATCATGGCTACAAAATATAAAGGTAATATATATTTGTGCCAAAGGGAAACCCCCAGAAAAATCAGTCAGAGGCAAAATGAAACTGAAAGTCAAAAGAAAATATTGTCATATGGATTTAAATTTGAGCAATATATTTTTACAAATGATCCACAAATTCCTCCTAATGGGCAAATTTCAACAAACGAACGTGAAGAGTTTTGTTGTATGTATAAAACAACTTTAACTGGAATGAACATTATTTTTGGTGCTGAGGTTGATGGTGTTACATCTCAAAAAAAAGTAGATTTAAATCAATTTGATCCAAATCAATTAGAATTTGTTGAAGCAAAACTTAAATTACAAGAGAAACATTTCAGGCAAAAACGAAATTTTTTAAAATATAAATCTCTTAATTGGTGGTGTCAAAGTTTTCTTGTGAACATAAAAAGAATAATCGTTGGAATTCGAAGTGAAAGTGGATTCGTTTTTGAACTTGAAAAAGTTGATGTAAAAAATTTACAAAAAATGGGCAGTCAATATTGGACACCAGCTGTATGTGTGAAATTTTTAGAAAATTTTTTAGTAATGGTTGCAAAAATTACAAAAAATGTTAATTGCCCAGATACTGTATTTGAATTTTATTGGAATCCTTCTGGCAAAAAGAACATAAAGTACAATGTAAAAAATGGAAAAAATGAATTTTCATTTTTACCTGATTGGTACGTCCAGAATATTAATGTTAAGAATTAAATTTAATGTTATTGGTTTCTAACTATATTTAAAATATAAGCCATTCCTAATTTTAATAAATATTTTTATATATGTACATAAATACATACATAATATGTATATAATGTTTTAATGAATTAATAAAAAATGTATGTATGTATTTTTAAACCATTTATTTTTTTAAGCAATAGAAATAGCATTCACTGTTTAGTACGTACAATTTGTACATTCTGTCTCTTGATATTTCAAAAATATTTGTTTGCAATAAAAATAAATCTGTTTTATTTTTCACTAATGATATTTTATGAATTTTTATTTGATTGTTACCAATAAATACTTACTGGAAATTTTTTTTTTTTTTTTGAATATAGCAATAATCGTAAACAAATTATTTGATTATGTAGTCTTAATTTGATTATAAAAACTTCATGACAACATATAATGCATCTCTATTCAATTAGGAATGAAATTCAACTGTTGAAAATGGCAATTTAATTTAAAATAAAATCTTGTACAATTATTTGCAAATATAATGTTGGTATACCATTATATACTATAATGTAGATGTTTCATATTGTGCTCTTAAATTATGTGAATCACAGTTCGAGCATGATGAATTCTTTAAAAAAATATTCTAAAAAAAAAAGATAATGAAAAATTCTTTTAAATACTTGGAAGCATTTAATTTTTTATTCAGTTTTTTTTTTTTAATTTTAATTTATTTTGATATGAATATTATATAATTTTTCGGTCAGTATTCCTTCGTTTTCTTCATGATCAAATACATTTTCCTTCTGTTTTTCTTTTTTTTCATCTCATCCGAATAATTTTATTTTAATTATATTATTTCTATAATTTCAAAATAGGTTTTTTTACATAGTCACCAATTATTTGAAAAATTTATTAAAATACAAAATTGTATTTTTTATAATTTCAATAAAAATCCGAAAACTACACTTAGATTTGAAAAATGTTTTCAAAATTTTTCTTATTAGGATGATTATTAAAAATTAAAAATTTATTAAAGAATTTTTGGCGTAGCAAAATTAAAAATTAATATCTTTTATTTAATATTCCAATTCAATAAAATTTAGGAAGCCTTAACTGTTAAAGTAAACTGCTAACTAACTAATTAACTGCTAAAGTAAAATTCTTGTATTAAAAATTTTAAAAGAAAATAATTAATAAAAAATAATACATTTAAAATTAATTTCTTTTCAAAATTTCAATTCAGCTCTTATCAATCTTGATTTTTTTTTTTTATTATTATTAGAAAAGTTTATAAAAATTAGCATTTGGAAAAGAATATATTTAAATTTGATGTATAATATTAAAAAGTAATAATTATTTTAAAAAACTTTGTAAGAGTTAAAAATATCAGCAGAAATAAATTGGCCTTTTATATTATGTACATCACAAAATCGCAAACTTATAATTAATTATGTAAGTCTATATTTTTAGGCAAACTAATTAAAAATTTTATTCAAGCTAATTAATTTTATGAATTGTGCTTTTTAAAGTGCTTAATTATAAGAGTATATTGTTTATATACGGAACATATTACATTAAATTATATGAAATTTTCATAAGAATTGAAATATAAATTATGTCAATTATTTATTAAATTAAATAATGGGTGAAAATTAAATAATTTTAATTTGATTTCAATTTAAAATTGAGAATAATTATTTGAATTATATTTTTTGAGTGCTAATTAAAAAAAAAAAAACTTTTCTATATAATGTAAAATAATAAATTATTTTCTTAATTTAATTTTTCACTAATAAAATTAAAAATATAATTTAAATTTCTTTATAAATATTAATATTCTTAGATTGCTCAATATATTGAGCTAATATTTATATATTATTTAAAACAAAATTATTTTTTATAGCTTTTGTTTAGATATTAAAAAATAATATTTTTGTTACAAAAAAACTAAATATAATATGAGTATATTTAGAGAGAATTTCTCTTAATTTTTTAATTAATTAAATATAGGAACTGGCAAAAGTTTAATTGAAGAATATTATAAATAATTGTATATCATGTAAATTTTTCCTTAAGGTACGTTAATACGAAATCAATATTATTAATTGCAATGAAATAACAAAATTAATATTCAAATCAAAAAAAAATTTCCTTTAATTAAAATGAAATTCTAATTAAAAGCAGCACCCTAAAAATTCATAAATAATTGGCTAATTAATTTTTTTTTTTCTTTTGTAACCAATTTGTTTTTCTTATTTATTTCATTTTTTAAACTCTGATTTAAAAATATATTAAATATGTAGATTATAATTATTTTTTTTTTGCAAAATTTACTTCTTATTATGGTTGGTTGAAAGGGACATTTACATAAAAATATACATGTATGTATGTATATAAATCATGTCCATATTAATCACATAATTATTGTAATATATTTAGACATGATTACTTTATTTAATAATAAATAAATTTTTATTTTATAGATAAAATCAATTTATGAGTTTTGTATTTTGTTAAATAAATCCTTATATCTATATATTATTTTCATATCGATATCATTTTTTTATTTTATTTTGAATTTTAAACAACAAATATTTAAACATTTATTAAAAATATTTTAAAAATGTTTTATTATTTATTATATTATGACATCATATTTATACGGACATAAATTTACTATGAGTATTTATAAATTATTAAAAATTTATAAATTAAATTTAAAAATAAAAAATATTTATGATATTGCAAAAAACTGCCAATCATTATATGAAATTAAATTTTGTAAAATTACATTAATAATTATTATATGTATAATAATACAAATGCACAATTATGCTATAATTTTTTATTAAATATTTTCCCATTTCATAGCAATTTTGATATTGAGCTATTTTTTTTTTTTTTTTTTGAAATATAAATAATATTATTTTATTAAATTACAAATTAAAAATAAAATAAATTGTTAATAAACATTTTGTTTAATTAAATAATATATTAAATTATTTATTTAATTATTAAATTAATTTTCCAATTTTTAAATTAAAATAAAATTGTAATTTGAAAATTAAACTAATAAACTAATAATAAAATATCTAGTTATATTTAATTAAGAAATATTTTTTAAAATTTTCTGAACAAGTAATTTTATGGGGTAATTAAGTCTTAGTTTGCAAACGATTCGGTTTATTTTATAATTTATTTTTACTAAAATTATTTGAAAATTTTTTTTACCTAAATTTTACAATAAAAAATTCATCTTATACGATAGCAAAATAGCTTTACAAATATTAATATAAAAATTAAATTGATTAAAGCAAATGAGGGTTTAGTCTAAAATAAAATAAATATTAATAAGAATTGGTTAAATAAAAAAAACCCAAACTAACTTATATTTATATATTTTATATGTTAATACAAAAAATTGAATTTAATTAATTAATTTGCTTTATTATTATTTTTTATACAGTTTATTTAGCTGCATCTATATTTAAATTCACATATACAATACTATTCAAGTAAACTTTCAATTAAACTAAAAACATATTGGTAACGTGACTATTATAAACTTTATAAAAATAAGAACAAAATTTCGATTTTTAATATATGTCTAATAATTTCTTATATCAAAGTATAATAAAAAAATATTTTATATTATATTTTGCAACCTATATAATATACGCAAGTCATTTCATATAATTATTTAATTAAATTTAATTAAATTTTACTTTTTTAACATAATCTATAATTGATCTTTTTCTATTTTATAAACTTTTAATATATATGAATGCATTCTTTTATTATAAAATTAAATTTAATTATATAATTTAATTTTTTTTTTTTATATGAACATTTAAGCATCAGTTCTTTTACACTAAATTAAATATAATATAAAAATGAAAACAAATTCGTATTTTTTGTATAGTAATTAATTTTTTATTTATAAATTGTTTTCATTTTTTTATTGAAATTGTTTACTCTTTACTATATATAGATTTTATAACTTCCATGTTTGAGAAAGAAATATGCAAGAATTAATTTTTTATTAGATTAATATTTTTATTTTGTTTTTCTTTTTTTTTAATATTTAAGGCATATCCTCTACTGTTGAAGTTTCATCTAAGGAATGTAACCAATTGAATATCATCATATTTCTTTCATATTTCGATAATGGTTTTCCACGTTCCCTTTCTATATCATGAATTGTTAAATTTTGATTAACATTCATGCTTATTTTCTTTTTTAATTGTTCACATAAAATAGCTTTAGTTTGTGAAACTTGTTTGGCAGTATCAGTTGTTTCTTTACATTTTTTATTATCATTTCCGGTATTTTTAATAACATTTTTATTTATTGATGATGATGTACTTGTTGAGCTATTTTTTGTTGGCTGTTGTTTTTGTAATATATTTGTTGGAACGACAAGTTCTGTTGGACCTGGTCCACCTATCATTCCAATTTTTGTATTACCACTATTAATTGATGCTGCAGCTACAGCTGCAGCTTCTAATCGATCTAAATTAAATTCACTTTGTGATAAACGTTCTAAAGCACGATAAGTTGTTAATAGACGGCGTCTTATATAATTTTGTCGGACTTTTTTGTTAACTGATCGTATAAGGTCGGCAGCTGTAAATGCTGGAGGGGGTGGTGGTGTACTAGTATTTGTTAATGCTGGTGGATTAACAGAACCACCATGCGGTGATGGTAATTGAGATGTTGATGCTAATTCACCAACTGCAACCCATGTTGAACATGATCTTGATGTATGATCTAAACGTGGATTTTCTAACATATAGCCACAACGTTGTAATGAATTTAATGCCAATTCTGATACTGTTGAACGTAATTGATTTGTTTGAGATTCGGGTAACGGTAATTGTGCTATATCACTTGTACTAAAACTTTTTTGCATTCCTAATGCTGATGATAATGCTGCACAACTACGTATTAAATCGTTGCCTTCTTCAAACCATGTTATTTCTGGTATATTAGCTGGACTAAAATTAAATTTATTATATATATATATATATATATATATTATTAAGCACATATACATATTTTAAATTATTAAATGTATAGTTATAGTAATTATACCGTGTTAAATGAAGTTTTGCTTCTGGATTTGGACTAGGGCCCCTCTGTTCTTTTAAAGCGAAAACTCGATGTTTACCTAAGGCCTCTGACTGTAAAGATGACACTGAAAATAATGATAAATCTGTTGTAACACTTTCATGAGATGGTGAACGTAACATTCGGCAGGATACAGCTAATACTGGTGTGGCTGGTGCTGTTGAGCGTGGAGTTGCCATTTCAATTTTTTTTTTTTTCTTAATTATTTTTTTTATTAAAATCTTGAAGATTTAAATTTTTTCTTATACTTTTTATTTTTAAACACTTTTAAAGTAATTTATATTACATACATAAGTATGTATGTTTATATATATTTAATAATGAATGTCAAATGTTCAGATGCACTAAATTGCTGATAAAAGTTTTTATAATTTTGTTGCTATCTAAAAATTTTAAAGATGATATTTGTTTAAATTTCTTAGAATGTTAATGTTATTTTGTAAATTTTTCGAAAGTATTAAGTGTGATCACATGTAGTTGGTTTTAGCTTAAAATTAGTTAATTTTTTTGAATTAGCATTTTGGTTTTCTGAAAACTTTCATCCTTTTCTTCATTTAAAACAACACGAAAATTGAATATTTTAAAATTCCCTAACTTAACTACACATTTATCAAATGAATTTCATGATATCAATTAATTTGAATTTATCTTTGAATTTTATTGAACATAAAAAAAATTAAAAATGAAACCAAAAAACAAGATTGCTCTGTTTTAAATAACCAGGTTTTTATATTTATTTTTAAATAAAATTTAAAATGCTCGATTCTAATATGAGAAAATCAAATTCATCACTTGATTAACGATTTTCCAACAATATTGCCGACAAATTACATACATATACATAGTTATACTTGCGTTATGTGAATATGTGCACAGCATGAGTATATGAAATTTTTGATTGTTCATAATAATTGTCTTTAGAGCGGAAATGTCCTTTTATTAAAAAAACAAAAAAAAAATTACTTTTATTTTCTCCCTTTTTATTTATAATATTCATTGCTCACGAGTTTATCTAGGAAAAGCGCATTCGCTATAAATATCATTTGGTGTTAAAAGTTTTTTTTTTTTATTTGCTACTACATTTTGTCTTTTTTAAACATTATTGCTAATTTAAGAAAATAAAATAAAAACTGTGTGGGAGGAAAAGGAGAAAATTAAAAATAGAGCCGACCAACATACAATTTAAAATATTATTATGCACACAGGCACACAAATACGAGTATACATATATATGAAACTCTTATTATAAATATATAAGAAAGTAGATGTACATTTATGTACAATTTCTAAAAAAATCAAAAATAAGGATACGTTTTATAATATATTATGTATAAGGATATATAATAAGTAGAAATATTTGTCTGTATTACATATATATATATATATATTATTTTTATTGGCAACTCAATTTTATTGTAATGGCACTTTGCACCAACACTTACGATTGTGCCAATTATATTTTATATTTTGTTGTTTTTGTTATTCATTTGCGATTGAATTGGAAAATGAAAAAATATAAATTAGGACAATATTGCAGTTTAAATTTATTCTGAATTAATTAATTATGGCTCTATTTTATTTAAGAATAAGAAAATATTTGCACTATGTATAATATTTTTGATTGTTGTAATGTTAAAATTATTGTATATTTTATTTGGTGCGATTAATACAATTACATATATGTATATTGAAATTCAGTTCCCGTTCTAAATTCGATTTTCGACCTAGAAGTTTTGAAAATACTCAGTTTTGCCACTTTGTTTCATAAATCATTTCATTTTATTAACGAATACAAATTAATATTAATTAAATTATTTTAGTATATTAAAATAAATATTTTTAAAATCGAATTAAAATAATTTTAACAGAATTTGGTAATTTTTATTTAATATTTAGATGAAACTTTCGTTTTCCTTATTAATTTTTAATAAACCGACCCAGTTATAATTTTAGAAATAAAATGCATAATTGCGAATACAAAATTTATTTGCACTTGACATTTCTGTAATCTCAACAATTTGAAAATTATGATTTAATTTCTACAGTACAGTTATTTATAGTTTTAGTACAAACCTACATAATAGGTAAACACTTAATTAAGCTTAAAGGTAAATATGCTTTTTTTAAATTAAGAATATTTTTCCAAGAGGAATGAATTTTTTAAGTAAAAATTTAATTTATTTAAACAGTCAATCATAGATAAATAAATTATAAATTTTCTCTTATAGTATTATATATTGATTGGGATGTTATATATACCTATGTACGTATATATATAAATGTGTGTATACAAAATATAATAAATACTGTGTTGTAATTGCAACAATTATAATTAATATATATATATATATATGTTCATGTCATAATTGAAGACAAGATTTTATAATATAATATTGGATTTGGTATTTCATTACCACGAATATTTTAATTATATAAGAAGTATTTTTTTGAAATATTTATATGAATTATTAAAATCATTAAAAGAATTTCTTATATGAGATTCCAATCAATAATAAATAATGGTTAGAAAACTGCATCTTATACGTGAATTTTGTATGTATGTAGGTATTCACAAGGGTTCAAAAAATTATAATAATAAGAAAATTTAATGCCGGCAATATACCGCAGACAGAATTCTCCTCTATTACATATAAATAAAATGAGGGTGTTGTTATGAATATTTATTATAATATACAATCTATGTACATATTTATAAATCAATTTAAAATTTTCAAATTTTTAAAATCTTTAGTTAATAACTTAAGTCATTTTATTCACAAATATGAGATTTATGGATAGTTAGGTATACCTATGTGTCTAGAATTAAATTAGAAAATAATATTTAATATTTTTAAAAAATGTAAAAAATTTATCATAAATGTAGTTGAAATATTTTCCTTTTGCGTGATTAATTCACATAAGACGCCATATTTATTTTTTTTAAATAATTACAAAAAAAAAAAAAAATCTTCAATATTTTTTTAATATAACAACGGTATAAAATTGAAGAATATTTAGTACAAAAAAAAAAAAATAACTAAGAATTAATTGTAATTAAGTTTATAGTCTTGTTCTTCATAAAATTTTTATGTCATTTATTCTGATGAAATCAAAAAAAATAATAATAAAATAAATATAGAATAAATGAAAATTTAATACAAAAATTATTCTATTGTGCTATTATACAGTATATAGAAATACAATAAAGAAATAAATTTTCCAAAGCCAATCTATTTAAGGACTCTGTGATATATAAGTATATATATATGTGTGTATGCATATATCACAGAGTCCTTGACATTCAGCTGAATTTTGGATGAAAGAGCACTTGCAGTCTTGTTTTTTTTTTTTTTATTTGTATTATTTTTTTTTTTATTTTTAGTTATAAAAATCATGAAATATACTAGATATATAAGTATGTGTTTAAAGTTCATAGAATTATATTAACTTCCGCATAATGGGGTTAATCTATAGTAATAATTTTATTAAATACAAGAAAAATACCGACAATAAATTCTATTTTCATAACTTTTTTTTATTAAACATTTAATTGAACCAGATTACGTATTAAATTTTAAAATTATTATAATAAAAAAATATTATCAGTGTTATTGTATTTGATTTACGCACTGAATTTTTTCAAATTATAAAACGCACTTAAAGGTCACATTTTAAGATTTTCTGCCTTTGTACTTTATTTTATGTGAATGCCAGTTAATTAATTTTTAGATAATTTTATATTATTTTATATTTTTTATTGTATTTTTTTTTTTTAAATATATTTTTAGTTTTTTTTTTTTTAATTTTATATTTAAAACCGACCGACACTTTAAAAAAAATTGTATTTTTTCTTTTCCTTTCGTTTTTCTATTTTTAATAATGGCTGTTAATCAGCTATAACTAAAGCATATATATATATATATACAATTTAAATGTACCGCAAATGAATTTATCTATAATACACAAACATGTACACAAGTAAATTCACATAAATAAAGTAAAAACGGTATACGGTTAATTAAACTATAAATGTTGCAAGGATCTGAATAATAGGACATTCAAAAGTATACTGAACTAGAACGAAAAGGAATATTTACGATATTGTTTAAATCAAAGCAATATTAGTTTGTCATATCTTCTTTTCTTATTGTTTTGGTTTTTGTTTTTTCCTCCAATTCGGAAAATAGAAAGTTTCTTCTATGTAAAAAAAATACGATAGATATTTGCAATATTTTGAACCTCTTTTTACTCTTAAAATAAAATTTAATTAAAAATTTAAAATAATTCAGAAAATAAGTTTAGATTAGACAGGATTCTGAAAACAATAAAAATATATTTCTTATATTTTTATTTTAGTTTGTAAAAATATGAAAACCTTTAAAAATCACACATTTATAATAAAATCAATAAATTGAATTACATATGTACTTCATAATATAGTCCTTTTTTACTGAAAATGTCTACTACATATTTGGTAAAGTTTAAAGGAATTTTTATCAACAAGGTTTCTATAATATCCTCTCAAAAAACGAAACCAAAATTCTGTATAATGGTAAAAAAAAAAGAAAATAGTTGTAATATAAATGAAACACTTGAATGGGAAAATTCTCAATCAAATCCCAAAATAATTCATTTCACAAATATGCACTCTTTTAAAATTTTACGGTCATGCGTATTTATATTGTAAACAAACCGTTTCCGTCTGAAAAAAAATAAATGTAAAAGGGGAAAAAAAAAAGACATTTCAACAATTCTTACTCTTATATACTTTGAATTCGTTGAGATTCTTGAGATTTAAGGAGCATTTAAAATGAGTTAATCAATTTAAAATTAGAGTAAAACGGTATATGTATTTAAACATTCCTTTATTTTATTTTGTGTATAAAATTTCATCTCAAACAAATTTTAAAGTAAATTTTATAAAACTAAATAATGCGAAACTCGATAGATACTTAAACATTTCATTCGTAACTTCTCATTTATTATAAAATTAATATAAATCAAAACTATAAGCTAAGTTTATTTTTTTTTTTTTTGGTTTTTCAAAAATTATTGGAGCCTTGACTTAGTAAATGATTGAACACTCTGAAACGTTACGAAAATTTGTATTCTGGTATTATGTATACATCAGGTACAATAAATTTCAAAATTTTCTTCTTTAAAAAGTATTTCATTGACCCCAGTACTTTTTTTTTTTCTAATATAATTTACTAAATTTGATTTTTCTTGTTAAGATTTTATTGCAAATGAAGAAAAACGGCTATCTAATAATACATTTTACTCTGGTAATGTTAAATTAAAATGAAATACATATACGGTGTAAATAGATTATGTAAAACAAACTGTTTTGAATTTTTACAGTCCAATTCGATTAATGAAATAATGAATAAAAAAAAAAGAAGAGAAATTAATCATTAACATTTATATCAGTAACTAAAATTAATCATAAAAATTTTTTTAAATTATATTTCATTTAATTTTTATCTTCTTTCTTTTTTTCACCCTCTTGCTGTGTATCTTGTGTGGAATCGCTACTGCTGCTGCTGCTGCTGGAACTACTACTTGAATCTCTTTCTGATGCCATCTAAAAATAAAAATGCAAAAATTTTTACCATTTGTCTTAATTGGATGCAGAAATAAAAATACTTTTTTGTATGCCATTTCGAATAATTTCAATGAAGATTGTTGTAACTGACTTGTAGCTTTCCTTATATCTTCTGGATTAGCTGAATCCTTATTAGCTAAATGATTACGTAACTGTGTAATTTCTTCACGTAATTTATCACACTAAGGAGACAAAGAGATTTTATTATTTATTTATAATAAAATTTATAAATTACTTACTTCTTCTTTTGGTAATTGATCTTTAAATTCTTCCATTTTAGATTCTGTATCATGTACAATACTTTCAGCTTGATTAACAACTTCAACACGTTCTCTTTTAATTTTATCTTCACTTGCCATTTTTTCAGCATTTTTGATCATATTTTCAATTTCATCTTTACTTAAACCACCACTTGATTGAATTACAATTTGTTGTTCTTTGCCAGTTCCTTTATCTTTAGCTGAGACATGTACGATACCATTAGCATCAATATCAAATACTACTTCAATTTGAGGTACACCACGAGGGGCAGGTGGAATTCCAACCAAAGTAAATGCTCCAAGTAATTTATTGTCAGAAGCCATTTCACGTTCACCTTGATGTACTTTAATTTCGACTTGAGTTTGTCCATCAGCAGCAGTTGAAAATACTTGAGATTTTTTCGTAGGAATGGTAGTGTTGCGATTAATTAAACGTGTAAATACTCCACCTAAAGTTTCAATGCCAAGAGATAATGGAGTTACATCAAGTAAAAGAACATCAGTAACATCTCCAGCGAGCACACCGCCCTGTACAGCAGCTCCAACAGCTACAGCTTCATCTGGATTAACAGCTTTGGATGGTTGCCGTCCAAATATTTCCTTTTTTTAATAAAAAAATGACAAAATATTCATCTCAGTGCAATATAGTTTTACAATACATAAAAGTAAGTTTGCTTGCTCTATTTAAGTTCAAGTAAATGGATACATTATAAAGCATATAGTGCCATTGTTATTCCTTTGGATTTTTTAATTGGCATCGTTTAGATGAATTTAATTGTAAATATTTTAGAAAATTCAAAATTTTAAGTTTCAGGGCTACATTTCTGTTCTTACAACTTAGGCAATGTTGTTTTGTGAAAGAGAAATATCTGTTTATCATTATATTTTTTATAATTTAAATATAACTAATTGAAATCAGGAATAAAATTTACTCCAAGAAGATTTTTTTTGTCTTCTCCGTTGGGAAAAACAACATAACTTGGACAATGTTGCTTTGTGAAAAGGAAGTGTTATTTTATCCTTAATTTTTTTAAGTATATTTATTAAATTTAAATACACCTAATTGACATAAGGAATAAAAACCAAATATGTAAATTTTCTCCAAGAATTTACTTGAACTGAGGATTTTCTTGTCTTCTTCGTTGGGAAAAACAACATAACTTGGACAATGTTATTTTGTGAAAAAGAAGTGTTATTTTCTCCTTAATTTTTTTAAGTATAAAGATTGAACTCCAATATACCTAATTGACATTAAGGGTTCAAAATTTCTAGTATTTTCCGTTTTTAAAAACTTACTTGAACTGTTGATTGTACTTTCGGCATACGTGTCATTCCACCGACTAAAAGTACTTCTCCAATATCTGATTTGGATACTTCTGCATCACTGAGCGCTTTCTGGCATGGTGCGACAGTTCTCTTAATCAAATCATTACACAAACTTTCTAGTTTTGCTCGTGTCATTTTTAAGTTCATATGTTTGGGTCCAGATGCATCCATCGTTAAGTATGGCAAATTTATATCAGTTTGTGCAGATGATGACAATTCAATTTTAGCTTTTTCAGCCGCTTCTTTGAGACGCTGCATTGCCATTGGATCTTTGGTAATATCAATTCCTTGATCCTTTTTGAATTCGGAAACCAAAAAGTTAACAATAACATTATCAAAATCTTCTCCTCCCAATAATGTGTCACCGTTTGTGGACTTTACTTCAAAAACACCTTTTTGAATTTCTAAAATTGAAATATCGAAAGTACCACCACCCAAGTCGTAAACAGCTATACTGAAAGCCAATTATACATATAATATTATAAATATTTACATAATATATATTATTACATTTTGTCATCAGTTTTATCCATGCCATAAGCTAAAGCTGCTGCTGTAGGTTCATTTATAACACGCAAAACATTTAAACCAGCAATTTGGCCAGCATCTTTGGTTGCTTGGCGTTGTGAATCGTTAAAGTATGCAGGAACAGTAATAACAGCATTTTTAACAGGTTGACCTAAATATGATTCAGCCGTTTCTTTCATTTTGACTAACACAAAAGCTCCTATTTGTGAAGGAGAGTAAACTTTCCCGTCACTACCACTAACCCACGCGTCTCCATTCGATGCTTTCACTACTTTATAAGATAAATTTTTTAAATCCTTTTTGATTTCGGCATCATCATATCGCCGACCAATTAATCGTTTTGTTGCATAAAATGTGTTTGCAGAATTTGTAATCGCTTGACGTTTAGCTGGCATACCAACTAAGCGTTCTCCATCTTTTGTAAACGCCACATGTGATGGAGTTGTGCGTGAGCCTTCTGAGTTTTCTATAACCTTTGCTTGCTTTCCTTCCATTACCGCAACACACGAATTTGTTGTTCCTAAATCAATACCAATTACAGCGCCCTTTACTCCCTCAGATCTAAAATAAAAAATTAAAATATAATTAGGCATTTGTTTTTATTTATATTTTACTGTTTTTTAAATGATTATATTTAATGTCAGTATCTACAATCTCAATGAATCTATAGAAATATGAATTACATATGAACATGATGTATATTTTATGCACATATACATTCATACATATGTGTTTAGTTTTTCCAAATTACAAGACCCAATACAAACCTACAAAGATAAGGTTATGTAACAATAGATTTTTAGGACAATGAAGTTTATTCCAAAAATTAACAACCTTTTTTCCAAATTAACTGAATAATATAAGTTATTTTTGCTAAATAATTTCTAATAGCCTTTAAAATGAGATTAATTATTTTAAAATCTGCATATGTATATGGATTTCTTTCTACCATATTTTCTATACATTTAAAGTTACACATTTTTTAATTGCACGAATAAAGATTCAATATTCGAATGTTGGTACTTACTTATGCCGGGTTTGTGCCCATTTTGTTTGGTAAGCTCCGATTTGCTGGAAGAATAAACAAAATTACGCATTTAAGTTTTTATTAAGCATAAGAGAACATTCTAGAAAATTTTATAGTTCAAACGTAATGAATTCTATCCTTACATCATACAAATATTCTTAAAATAAAGTGTCTTATTTTTGAAAATCTTATATTTAATTACTATAAACTTTTAAACAAAATTTCATCCATATGTACTTACATTAGAAAAAACTGTTGAAAGGCATCGTTTTGCTGTGAAATCTGTCGGTCCTTCTAAAGCAAAACGTGACACAAACTTAGCTGCTGCCAAAATTTTCACCATTTTGATTTATTTTCTAAATACAAATTTAAATATATCTTAAGAATAACGATTTCAATAAACTGCACTTTTTTTAATTACGATTTAAATTTTAATGGGTTAATTCTAACTCTTATCTGAAAACTACTTGGAAGGAAAAAAAATGTGCTTCGCAACGAATGGATGTCTTTTATGAAATAGAGAACGAGAAGAATAGTGACATTGTGACATTTGACATAGGTATATGTTGTGTGTGTAAAATAAAATGAAAGATTTGCATGACGCTTTTCTTAAATGTCAAAAAAAAATTTTAATTTGAAATTGTGACGTCAGTCAAAGTCTGATAACTTAAGTTTGTTGATTATGGTATTAGTTGAAGAATAAACTTCATACATTAATTTAGTTAGTTTGTATTTTCATTTATTGATATTATAAAATATTTTTATAATCACTTTTATCTTCACAATAAAATTTTATTATAAGTAGTATTTATGATTTTCACTTCACTATGTAAAATGACCTAGAAACCATTGAGATTATTTATATTTATACTTCATTCATAAATTCCAGAAAATTCTATTTTAATTTTTTCTGGAATATTCAGTTAAAGTATCCAATAATCCAGAATATTCTTAATTTGAATCGGAGACTTCTACATACTTTGCACAATATATGTCAAATGCCTGCTGCAAAACAAAATTATAATTATTGCATGATATTATAAATTCAAAAAAGCAAGTTTTTTTGATTTAATATATCGAACTAAATAATATTGTAATAAAGTTTTTACATTTTAAAAAAGGTATCAATTTATTTGCTTTAAAAACACACCACCAGATGGCATTTAATATATTAAAAACATAATATGTAATGTCACTTTTGACATATTATTCAATTGTGTTACATTGTTTTTTTTTATTTGACAATAAAGCAGAACAAATAAAAAATTGATTGAGAAAAAATAAAGTAAAATTTGAACAGAGTTGTTTTGAACAATTAAAATATGTTTTTAAAATTTTTATTCGGGTGCTTGCTCACAATATTAATTGTTCCGAAAATTAATACTGAAGATATATCGAATCAAAAAGAAAATCAAAGTGAATGGGTAAATAATGAAATTCATATTGCACTTAATAAAAATAGAAATAATTAAAAACCTTCAAATATATCCTTGTTTTTTTTTTACAAAATACAATTATATGTTTTAATTTTTAGGACGTCTTGATATTTACACAACAATGGCCTGTGACAACTTGTATTCATTGGATGGAAGAAAATGAAAATAATAAATGTGATTTACCAACGCAAGAAGAATTTTGGACAAGTAAGAAATTTTTATTTAAGATGTGAAAATATAAAAAATATTAATACTTTTGTAAATAAATACAAAAATTTTGTTTTAGTTCACGGAATTTGGCCAACAAAATATGAGACCACAGGCCCAAGTTATTGTAATCAATCAGCGGAGTTTGATATAACAAAAATATATGCAATTGAAGACAAACTAAAACTTTTTTGGCCTAATATTGAGGAAGGTATGGGAACTGATTCGCTGTGGCGACATGAATGGGATAAGCACGGGACATGTGCAGCTTCCGATGAAAATTTATCCGATGAATTTAAATATTTTAATCAAGGCTTAAAATGGCGTAATTCTTTTAATATGTCTGAAATACTAGGAAATGCTGGAATACACCCTGATTCTAATAATACCGTTATTAACATTTTGAATGCATTGAAAAGGACTCTAAATAAAAATCCATCAATTCATTGTGTTTATGATCGTCATAAAGACTTAAGTTTGTTATCTGAGATTAGAATATGTTTTGACAAAGCTTTAAACTTAATCGATTGCGATCAAATAACTGGTAGTCACATTGCTATTGATTATCCAGGTGGAAAATTAATAACTAATTGTCATATATCCAAACCAGTTGTCTACCCCAGTAGATTACCTTCAAAGGCTAATAACAAAACAAAATATAAATTTAATTTTCTAGAAGCATTCAAATTACTTAATTTTATTATGTGGCTTACATTATAAATTTCGTCTAATATTGGTCAACTGCTAAGATTTGTGCTCTAGTGAGTTTTTTTTTTTTGTTTTTTTAGGAAAATTTTTTTTTTTAATTTTATGAAAAAGCAAAATTAAAATGGAACTAAGTCATTTATGACTTTAATAATAGTATTTTAATATAATAAGAAGAATATAGAAAACAAAAATAATTTTATGCATAAACATAAATAAAAAATTTGCCTAATGATAAAACATATGGTACAATTTTCAATCTTAAAACACTGGGGCAAAATTTGTTTCACTATTATTAATGTTAAAATATTAATTATTTAAGGTACATGTTCGGCAATTTCAAAATTACAATTGTTTCGAAATTTCACTTAGTTTTCATTAAAAATTCAGTGTAAGCTATTATAAATTATGACGTAGTAGATAAAATTTTGAGGACCAATAATGTTTTTGAGAAGAGAAGTTAATGAACTATGCACATTTTTACAAAACACTTATTAAAAGCTATTCAGATTGTAAAATATTGAGGCTGTTTTTTTTTTCTTTTGTTTATATTTTGATATATTTTACTTTCTAATTATTAAAGTATTTATAATCTTATATGCAAAATCTATTATTATTATTATATTCTAATTTGAAATTAAAATAATGTACATACATATATAAGTTTTTGTTGTTTTTACGACAATAATTAAGGTAAAAATTTATTTTTCAATAATTTAAAAATCAAGGTCAACAAATTAAATAATGAGCAAAAATATCGATTTTTAGATAACACAACTTATTGCAACCTATAGTGTTAGCCAAATATTTAAAATGAAAACTTTTACTGATTTGAAAATACTAATACGTAACAACAAATTAGAAAAAAAAAAACTAAAAATTGCGATATTATCTAAATATATTTTTTTTATTTTTATTTCAATTTAAATTTATTTATAATAAGCAAATATAAAAATTGTAAACTATACAATAATAATAATAAACATTTTACAACTTTCAAAAAATATTTTTATATTACACCATAGCATATTAACATTAAAACTCATTACATTGAGAGGAAAAATAAAGCCAATATTTTTAAGAGCATCATCTTCAATTGGATTTTTTAGGAAGATATTATGTAAACTTCATAATAATATTACGGATTTTTACAAAAGTATCTTGTAATTCTAAGATTTCGTTAGTAAGGGTTATTTCGGATAACAGATAATATATGATTATCTGCTATTCGAAATTACCTTTACGGATTTGAGCATTGGAAGTTGTTTAAAAAAAATACCTGGTATAGATATATTTACATTTTAGAATGGCTCAAGCAGAATTCATATCATGATAAGGTCTGAAAGAAATCACGGCATTGTATAATTAAATTTTCGCAAAATCGCTTAATTATTTCGATATATGCATAAAGTAAATTAAACAATAAGTACATAAGAACCTTTTTCAAACTTTTTATTAATTCTTAAAAATATAAAATTAAATTTACATAATTTAACAACGTACATGCTCAATAGCTTAATAAGAGCGAAGTTTCTCTTATTTCTAATGATATCAGTATCGTAAAATAATTTTGCTCTCTATTTTTAAATTATAATGTTAATATATGTTCTAATAAAAGAAAAATGCTTATCATTTTATGTTTTCATATCAATGAAATTTATATTAACTTTTAATAATTCGATAAAAGAAATCTATATATTTTTTGATAATAGTAACAGAATAAAATTACTGGCGCTGATTACCCTTTATTTTTTTTTTTGTTTTTTAAATATTAAAAGCAGTTATATTTTATGTTTAGTAGGTTTTGAATTTTTGTGCGAGTTCTATAGGAGAGAAGAAAAAAAAATTGAATATTTCCTATAACGTTAATAAATATAATATAGCAACAGGAAGTGTAACAGAGAATGGATAACGGCAAAATTTCATATAATGAAGATAAACTTAAGGATACTGCTTTACCAGCCGCCGATAAAATTCCTGATAAGTAAGTATTAATTTAAAATTTAAATTATTTGATTAAAAAATTTGAATTTCATAAGAATTTGGAAAAAAATTGTGTAAGAGTTTTATGAATGAAATAGTAAAAATTAGAGATAACAACCAAATATTAGTAATTCATACCAGTTTTTCTAAATTCAGAAACAATATACATAATTTACAATAGAGATTAAAGTTCGAAAGTAATATTTTAATTAGTGAATATTAAAGAAACAAAATTAATTGATTTAAATTTAAAGATATTTGAATATGAAATTAATTTAAATGTACTTTTGATAAAAAAAAATGATAAACAAAAAATATGTGCTTGAAAAAAAATTTTTTTCTTGTAATAAAAATTATTCTAATCAATTAGGTATTATTCATTGATTACGATTAATATCTTCACTTTGAGATACGTACAAATTGAGATTAAAATTCATTAAAACACATAATGAAAAATAATACATTAATAAAAAAAAATTTCAGTTTGTGTAATTGCGTTTGTGTATTTGCGTTTATGTAAGTTATGAAAACTTTTATAAAATAAATTTTCCTATCTAATTAAGTTGGACAATTATTTAATCTATAAAATATTAAATGCACTTAATAATAATACCAATTTTAGTCATTATTTAAATAAAACTTGAATATAATGAAAAAAAAATTAATATATGTATAAAGAATATTTTTTTTGCATTTCTTAAGACTTTTAGAAGAAGAAAGTTTTAAGTTTTTTCTAGAAGAAAAGTTTAAGGAAATGCGAATTGTAACAAATATAACTTGTCATAATTTTGACACACTCAATTAATACATTAAAAATACACTTTCTCTTGTTATTTTATAAAGTTTCTGTAAAAATATTTTAAATTTCATGTCTAATTTATTATATTAAAATTTGATATTGTTCGAGAAATTCAAATAAATTTAATCAAATTTAGTAAAATTATGGTATTATTAAGTCGAATGAACCCATTCAATTAAAATCGTGTGACTGATTATAATTAACTGTTGGAAATTATTTATACAATTAAATTCAATTTTCAATAGAAAAACGTGTTAGGTTCTATTATGGCACACTTTATTTCTATATAATCTATTGTAAATACTTTGTCATAATTATCATGAATTTATATTTTATTGTCTAGAAAAATAAGAATCATTTGTAAGTACATATATGTATAAATACTTGGTTTTTACAAATGAAATCTAATTACATACCATAAATTATATACGTAATTAATTATTAGTTTTTGCAAAACTTCAAATTTTTTTAAAATAATTTGATTAGATAAGATAAAAATTTGGTAATATTGGTATTCTTTTTTTTTACCGTATATTTTCAATTTATGTGTTAGTGATATGGGCTATATCATTTCCGTGTTTTTAAAGCTACATATATGTACATATAACATATAATTTGTAATTGTTTTTAAAGTTACATAAATTTTTATAGTTGTTACAGTAGAGAATTTTGAGTGTATTCTATATATGATTGTAATTAATTAATTGAATAATTATAGTAATTTTATTTATATATTAATAATATATTATTTAAATTTGTGTAGGTAGAATAATATATAAATTGTGTGATTGTGCGTGTTTAGAAATTTGTGAGAGAGAGTTTAGAATAAAAGTATTATATACATATGTATAGTTATACATATTTAATTTTATATATTGATAATTAATAAAATTCGACGATAATATTTGATTTTCATTATAATTTCAAAAATTTTTAATGCTTGCCTAAAATAACATTAATTTAAATAAAAATTTTTTAATGTTATATAAAATTTTTTCTAACATCATTTAGTATTATAGAATTCTTGTCATTCTTGTCAAATTTTATGTCATTTATATATGAGAAATATTTTTTTTTTAGAAAAGATTACATTAAAATTGTTCGAATTAAATCAAATTTCATTTGAGACTTAATTTTGCCTTATCGAAGTAGACATATTATTATTATAAAAACATTTAAATTTTCAGAATGATTTAAAAAACAATTAAATTTGAAAAATGAAAAATTCCATATGTCGTATACTAATTAATTTTTGTTTGTAATTTATGTGTATATACTATATAATTACAGTGGTGAGTTAATTAAAAAACTTATTGAATATTTTAATTGTACATATTTTTAAAAATTAAATATATTAACAAGAATTATTTTTAAGAATAATATTAACAAATAAAAAAATTTATATTAATCGGACCAAAAATTTTAAAGATACTATAGGAAGAAAATGACTATTTAATTGGACTTAGTAATTAGTGCGTTTTTATTACGAAATTAGTTCAGAATTCATCTATATTTTATTAAAAAGCAAACATATACTTATGTGAACTATTATGTATGACCATTTTTTCTGAAATCCGAACTAAATAATATGTGCATAATGTATTCGGCAAATTTATCGTTAATTTACGAATCCGTATCCTAAAATATATGCAATCTATTCAACAATACTCTCATTTTAGTACATAATTTTTGTTTAAGATTAATTTTTAATTTTTTTCTTTTCAAATTATGATCTTACATTCTTGATATAGATAACCCAAAAAAAAATAAAATTTATATTCCTAAATAAATATTATTGACTAATTTCCTTCTCTAAATGTCCTTGTATGGCGGTCTGATTTTCATTATGAATTATGATGACGCCACTTTTTTTGAACACAAATCGTCAACATATGCTTTTTTTTTTTTTAATTTGTATCACAATTTTGTTGTAATATCATTATAAAAAAAAAAAAATAAAAACAAAAAAAAAAATTATATCAAATTATTATAAATAAGAAGAACAAAAATCCACAAAAAAAATCTTTAAAATTTTGGCTAAAATTCAAGAAAATTAAAGAGAAGAAAATTTTTTAACAACAAGAAATTAAAATAACAAAAAAAAAAACAAAATTCAAATTGTTTTATTTTCATTCAAATATTCTTTCATATTCAGCTATCGTAAAGTTTTAGTTGTTTCTTGTGCATTTATGCATTTACATTGCATTATTCTCGTGCAAGTAGATAAAATTTCGGATTCTTACCAAAAATTATTATTATTGAAATGAAAATGAAAATAAAAAAAAATAAATTATAAATTTTTTTTTTTTGTTTTTATTAATGTAAACATCAATATTATTATATTAGTATTGTTGTGTATTGCATACAAGAATAAAATAAATGTTAAATAAAATATAATAATTAATTTTTATTAAAAATTTTATTGGGAAAACATTGAAATTTTTGTTTTTTTTTTTTAAATCGTAGACAATTTTCATTTTTAAAAATTATGTTATTGAATGCCAACAACAAAAATAAATATAAAAAATTTTAACAATTAAAAAAATATTCACGTGTGCTCTTATAGGTCACAACATAATTTATTAGAATTTGAAATAGAAATATATATATATATATATTATTTACATATATGAGTTGTAATTGGAAAGTAATCTTAAAAAAAAAAAATAATAAAAATATTAAAGAATTTATTATTATAATAATTTATAATTAAATTACAAATTATTACAAATTAATGCCTATATATTGAATACATACATACATACATAATACGAGTATATATATACAAGAACATTCTGAATTGTAACAGATATATTGTTTTAGTTTTTATTTTAATATGTACAATTAATTTTGTTTTCTATACATATATATACATAAATATTTATTTTATATTTAACTATACATAAAGCAATATTTATAATATAAATGCATTTTTATTAATTTTTTTAAATAGAGCTTTAAATTATAATGTGTCTAATTTAAAATAATTATCTATAGTAGTACTAGTATATATATAGAAAATAATAATTGAGTGTTTTATTATTAAAGTTAATTAAAGTAAATTATTAAAATTATTAAAATAATAATATATTATGTGTTTTTTTAATGAATAAAATAATTTTTTTTAAATAAAAATTTAAAAAAAAATGAATAATATGTAAAAACATTAAAATATAAATTTTGTGTATATATAAGCATATAAAAATTAAATTTCATAAAATTATTGCATAATTTTCATGTAATAAAAATTTTAACAACATTTGCGGGTAATTATAACAATATATAGTGAAAAAACAAATTATTAATTTAAATTAGAAACAAAACAAAAATAATGAAGGACTATCGATTATAAAAATTTTAATATATTTATTCAATATGTTTATATACGTCCATAATAATTACACGTTAATTATAAGAAATAAAATCTTTATTATTATATTTAAATTAAATATGCGCATTTCTTTAATTAAGGATTAATTACAATTTACGAAATTATGCTTAAGTATATACTTTTTAAAATATATTACAAAATTATTTATAATAATATTAATTATTTTAATTTGTATATATATATATATATATAGAGAAATATTAAAGGATACTGATCAAGATGATAAAACGGATTCAGCACCACCAATATCATTTTTTAAATTATATAAATATTCAACATGGAATGATAGATTTTTAATAATTATTGGTATAGCATGTGCAGTAGCAACTGGTTTAACAGCACCAGCTCATACATTAATATTTGGAGATTTAGCAGATGTACATATATACATACATATATAAATAATTTATTTGGCTTAAAAATTTTTTTTTTTAATGTATTTTTTTTTTTTAGGCTATGATTGAACAAGGTGGCGCTATTATTAATGGAACAGCAACAGATTTTACAATTTTTTTAGATTCAATACAAAAATTTGCGATGTTTAATTCAATAATTGGTGCTGTTATGTTAATATGCAGTTATGTATCAGTTACAACATTTAATTATGCTGCACATTCTCAAGTATATTAAACTTTAATTTATATGTACATTGATGATTATTTAAATTTTCCACATACATATATATGTAAATATAATAATTATTTTTTATTTGATTTTCATATAAATTCATAGATATTTACTATAAGAGGAATATATTTTCGTTCAATTTTAAATCAAGATATTGAATGGTTTGATTTTAATCAGAGTGGTGAATTTGGAAGTCGTATGAATGAGTAAGTTTGAATATTCAAAATATTTTATACATTTTATGTATGTACATGTACATATGTACTCGTATATGAGTATAGAATGACATTTATTAATAATATAAAAATTTATTTTGATTATTTTTTGATATGTATAGGGATTTAACAAAAATGGAAGATGGTTTGGGCGAAAAAGTTGTTATGTTTATTCATTATGTTGTAGCTTTTATCGGATGTATATCATTAGCTTTAGGAAAAGGATGGTTATTAGCTTTAGCTTGTCTAGCAAGTTTACCAATTACTATGGCTTCAATGGGAGTTGTTGCAATTGTAAGATATATTTATATAATTTCAAAATATACATACATATGTACATATATAATATAAACTTAAATAATATCATAGAGTTTGGCATCTCCTATAATATAAGAAAGGATAATATTACAATTAATAATATACGAAATAATTAATTAATTAATTTTGTTGTATACTGAAAATGAAAATTACAATTGGTCGTCTAACAAACATGTAAAATTAACACCAATTTAATACAAATTTTAATTTAAATTATTATTTATCATAATAAGGAATAAAATTTTGGAGATTTTTGAAAATTTTGTGATATTAATTAAGTTCAAACTATTAGAACATTTTTAATTTTCATGCAAACTTTTTAGATAACATCAAGACTGTCAAAAAAAGAAGTTGATGAATATGCTAAAGCTGGAAGTATAGCTGAAGAAACATTTAGTGGTATTAGAACTGTAATGGCATTTGGTGGTGAACAGAAAGAAGTGAATCGTTATAAAAAAAATTTGGTTGTTGCTAGAAAAGTTAATCAAAAGAAAGGATTTTTTTCTGGTCTTGGTTTTGGTTTACTTTGGTTTTTTATTTATGGTTCTTATGGTTTAGCATTTTGGTATGGTGTTGGATTGGTACTTGATGAAAAAGATTTACCAAAAGATCAAGTTACATATACAGCAGGAGTTATGATGACAGTACGGTTTATTTAATTTTTCTAATATGTTTAAAAATATGTTTACATACACACACATACATTATAAAATGATAATTTTCCATTTTAGGTTTTCTTTTCAGTAATGATGGGATCAATGAATTTAGGTGTTGCATCTCCTTATATTGAATCTTTTGGTGTTGCAAAAGGAGCTGGTGCAAAAATATTTCAATTAATTGAAAGTATACCAAAAATAAATCCATTATTAGGAAAAGGTGAAATACCAGATAAAGTTATAGGAAATATTGAATTTCGAAATGTACATTTTCAATATCCGAGTAGACCGGATGTAAAAGTATTACAAGGTTTAAGTTTAAATATACAACGTGGTGAAACAGTTGCTTTAGTTGGTAGTTCTGGTTGTGGAAAATCTACATGTATACAACTTTTACAACGTTTCTATGATCCAGCAGATGGCCAAATTTTAATTGACAATAATGATATAAAAGAATTAAATGTAAATTGGTTAAGAAGTCATATCGGTTCAGTTGGACAAGAACCAGTATTATTTGGAACAACAGTTTATGAAAATATTCGTTATGGCAGAGAAGATGCTACAAGAGAAGAAATTGAAAATGCAGCAAAAGCTTCAAATGCACATATTTTCATTAAAAAATTACCAAAAGTAAAATTAAATTTATAAAAAAATATTGTTTATTATAATAATTTGTATAATAATTTTAGGGATATGACACACTCGTTGGAGAAAGGGGCGCTCAATTATCTGGTGGACAAAAGCAACGTATTGCAATTGTAGGTTTTACTTTATAAATTTCACAATACATTACGTGTTTTCTTAATATAAAATTCATTTAAGGCTAGAGCTTTGATTAGAAATCCAGAAATTTTATTATTAGATGAAGCAACATCAGCTCTTGATACCGCCAGTGAAGCTAAAGTACAGGAAGCTCTAGAAAAGGTATTATTTGATAGCAATTTTGGAAATATATGGATTATATGTAAAAATTTCGTATATTTATTTAAAGGCCAGTATGGGTCGAACAACAATTATTATTGCACATCGTTTAACAACTATCCGGAATGCTGATAAAATTGTTGTCATTAATAAAGGTCAAGTTGTTGAAATTGGTAATCATTCTGAATTAATGGAATTAAAAGGTCATTATTTCCAATTGATTACTTCGCAGATTGGAGAAGATGTTGATGATGGTGGGTTAATAACGAAAATATGTTGTTAAAATTAGTTAATAATTTACAAACATATTATTTTTAGGGAGAATACGAACGCCTTCTGTTACAACTGTACCAACATTTAAAGCCATTACACCGGTTGATGAAGATGAGGAATTTACATTTGATGCTGATGATGAGGTGAATTATTAATTAAAGATATTTAAATCGTTGTTATAATTTTATAAAATTTATTATTTATTTATAAATAATAAATTAAATTATATTTGTAAATTTTAAAGGATGAAGAGTTGGATAAAAAAAAGAAAAAGGAAGGTGAAAATGTCTCTCTTCTTGAAATAATCAAGTTGAATCAGACTGAATGGCCACATATAGTAGTAGGATCTGTTACAGCAATAATTATAGGCTGTACAATGCCATTATTTGCTGTAATATTCGGAGACATCTTGCAAATTTTGTCTTATCCAGACAACGATTATGTTCGATCGCAAACCAATACTTATTGCTTATACTTCGTATTATGCGGTATTGTTACCGGTTTAGCAACATTCCTTCAAGTAATTTAATTTAATACTCCTATACTATTTATGTATACTTACAAAACTTTCGTTTTTTAGATATACTCGTTTACAATTGCTGGTGAAATATTAACAGAGCGATTACGTGGAATGGCATTTAGTGCAATGTTAAGACAGGAAATTGCTTGGTTCGATAATAAAGCTAATGGAACGGGTACACTCTGTGCAAGATTATCAAACGATGCTGCAGCTGTTCAAGGAGCTACTGGTCAACGTGTTGGTATTATCTTGCAATCAATTGCAACCATTCTACTTGCAGTCATATTGTCAATGTATTACGAATTTAAATTAGGATTGTTAGCTTTAGCATTCACTCCATTTATTCTTGTTGCAACATTCCTTCAGAGACGTGTGCAAATTCAGGAAAATATGGGTTCTAGTAAAGCTATGGAAAGTTGTACGAAAGTAAGTTGAAAAAAAATAACTATATGCATTTTTTATAATGAGTAAAATCCTTTGCGTGAATGAAAAATTATAATTTATAGTTGGCAATTGAAGTGGTATCTAGTGTTAGAACTGTAGTTTCATTGGGTCGCGAACAAATGTTTTATAGTCAATATGTAGCACTTCTCGAACCTGCGGTTACCTCTGCAAAAAAAATGACTCATTTTAGAGGATTGTAAGTTTCTTTAATATTAAGCAAATGTGTCAAGTTACTAACAATATTTTCATTTATAGTGTTTATGGTTTGGCGAGATCATTGATGTTTTTCGCTTTTGCCGCTTGTATGTTTTATGGTGGACATCTTGTAGCATATGAAAATCTTGAATATGGAAAAGTTTTTAAGTGAGTAAGTAATAAGTTATTTTTAAAATTGAAAATTGAATGAAACATTTTTAGAGTGTCACAGGCTTTGATTATGGGAAGTGTTTCAGTTGCGAATGCTTTAGCATTTGCTCCTAATTTCCAAAAAGGCCTAACCGCAGCTGGCCATATATTTGCGTTATTAAGACGTGAACCAAAAATACAAGATCCACTTGGAACAGCTGGTGATATGAAAATAATGAGCGACGGAAATGTTGTATATGAGAACATTAAATTTAGATATCCGACCAGAAAACATTATACAGTATTTAATGATTTGAATTTGGAAGTTACTACTGGACAGACAGTGGCATTAGTTGGTCCTTCTGGTTGCGGTAAATCAACTTGTTTACAATTATTGCAAAGATTTTATGATGCTGAGAATGGTAAAGTATTAATTGATAAACGAGACATAAAAACAATGTCACTGAGGAATGTTCGTTCGCAATTGGGTTCGGTATCCCAAGAACCAATGTTATTTGATCGTACCGTAGCTGAAAATATTGCTTATGGCGATAATGAACGTCAAATAGATATTTTAGAAATCATTGAAGCGGCAAGAAAAGCAAATATTCATAATTTTATAACATCTCTGCCTATGGGTTATGAAACTCGATTAGGAGAAAAGGGAACACAATTATCTGGTGGTCAAAAACAAAGAATTGCTATTGCAAGAGCTTTGATAAGAAATCCAAAAATATTGTTATTAGACGAAGCGACGTCTGCATTGGATGCTGAAAGTGAGAAGGTATATTCAATGTGGTTTACTATTTACTATAAAATTTTACATATTTATTATAAATATTATAAATATATTTTAAAATAGATTGTTCAAGAAGCTTTAGAGAGTGCACGTGAAGGTCGAACATGTATTACAATTGCTCATAGATTGTCTACTATAATTGATTCCGATATTATCTTTGTTTTGGATGGTGGTGAAGTTATTGAAAAGGGTACTCATGCAGAATTAATAAAGAAGAGAGGACTCTATTTTAGTTTATATAAATTACAATCCGGTCAAAGATAATAAATAGTCAAAGGAAAATTAATTTATTAGATAACTAAATTAAAAAATATGTTTTAGAACAAAATATATATGTATATAACTTTTAAGAAAATTGGAAATTAGTTGTTTATTTTCTTTTATATAATTATAAATGTATTTTTGAACAACATTGCATTTAAACAGTAGGTTTAAACACTGAATCTGTTCAAGGAGACCGATATCACATTTTCGTCCAGGAAAGTAAAATTATAAAGCAAGTTTTTTGAAATTCAATTTTACAGTTCTGCTTGTCAGAAGTTAATGGAAATCGGATTTTAGATTAAATTTACTACGAAACAAATTTTGGTTTTTTTTTTAGAAGTGATTAATATTTGAAATAAGAGAACAAATAATGCAGTTTCTGTAGAAATGTTTAACTGAATTTTACTGTTCTGAATAATAATAAATTTATTGAATATTATTTAGAAATTACCCGGTTATGAACACATCCAGATTTTTTCCACATGAAATGTCTTAATGTCACTCTTATAGTGCAGTAATGAATGAAAAATTTAATTTTTCAGATAAAATTTATTCAAAAATTTACCATATAAAATATCTTTATATATTCGAATAGATTTTTATTCCAGTCCATAATATATAGATTTTGTTGTACAAATACAGTAATCCAATATAATAAAGTTGCATATAAGCAAATATAAATATAATTGTTTAAAAATTGTATATAAAATTAAATATGAAATTTCTTTTCTAAAATCAATGAATTTAATTTATTTTGTAAAACTTGTGTATGTAATATAAATAATACTCCGCAAATTCTTTAACGTCAAAATTTTGATTTTAGTCTGCAAACTGTCTGAAACTAAAACTTTTACGGACAGAAATCTAGTAAACTTTTTACCCGTAATTGACTTTGAATTTTGATCATCCGTAAACGTCAAAACAAAAAAAATTTTTTTTTTAGATTTAAAATAATTTTATACTTACATATTAAAAATTAACAATAAAAATATTTTTTATATTATTTTTAACGTAATGATAGTCGCTCAACACATGAAATTTATTTACTGAATTACGTCAGACTGTCTGCATGTAAAAAAAAAAATCTACAATTTTGACGCTTAATTGACTTTTTTTAAACGTTTAAGAATTCAAACTTTGACTGAGAGTAAAAACGTAGTAGAGTATCCGTAAACTCAGACAACTCAGATTTTGTAAAATTTGACGTTTAAGAATTTACCAATTCAGTACATACATACATAAAATTTTTCATTAAATGATTTCTTCAATATTGTGTGTTATTCCAAAATTATTATACTTTAATTCAAAAATTTTCAAAATTTAGTAATAGACGGTTCACATTCTAATATTAGATTTTATTTTTTTAGTTGTTTATTTTTGAAAAAGAATTTTGAATATATGCTATACTTAGAGCACATTCTTATTCGGAAATTTCTTATTCACACAGGTGAATAGGAAATTTCCGAAAAAGCACCATTGAGTTTTAACAAAATAAATATTTAAAAGTTTGTTCTCTCTATATTATTAAGTAAAAATTGATTAAAGTATTGGAAATTTGTAAAAATTTCTTAATTAGAAAAATTTAATTAAACGTAACTTAATTTTTTGAACAAAAAAATTCAAATGCATTTTGAATTTCAAAATGATTTATATTCTTTTACACGAAATGGTAACTGTAATCTGTACAGAAATTTTGAAATTTCGAATTTAGCATTTCATGTATATTGAATAAAAATATTTATTATTGACAATATTGAAAATATCTTACAATTTTACAAATCATTAATAATTAGTTAGTAATTGTTTTACAAAAAAAATTTCAAATAAAATTACAAAAAAAAAATTTTATTTTCAAATGAGTTTTTAAACCACTACGGTTTTAATTAATAAATATATTAATATTATTATAAAATACACTCTCTTATATTTATTAAAAATCCTAAAAAAATATTTTAATATATAATAATTTTCAAAGTAGGATTTAATTTCGTGGTTTAAGTATATTTTTAGGACTTTTAAGTGATTCAATAGCTGGTGATAAATTCTCCTTCCCTGGAAAGAACTTTGGAGTTTTTGGTGTTCTTGGTGTCCTTGGTGTTCTTGGTGTACGTGTTGGTGTACCTATAATAGTACCATTATTTTTTCTTGGGGTAACCGTAACCGTTACTGTATTATTATTTGGTGCAGTTGATCCAACTTTCTCTTGTAATTCCATAATTTTAGCTTCTTGCTCTTTAATAATATTTTGGAACTGTGAAACTTTCTGTGAATTAAGATAAAAAAGTTTATTTTAAATTAATACTATTATGAATTAAAATCAAATTAAAATTACATTTTTAAGATGTGAATTTGTTTCCTTAAGATTCTCAAAATTTTTTACATTATGATTTTTGGTTTGCATTTGAAGTTCATTGTATTTTTCAGCAACTTCTCTAGCTAAATTTTCAGCATTTTGTAATGCTTTATCTTTTTCTTCAATCTGTAATGAAAATTTAAATGAGAGTTATAAATTAATTGATGAAATACAAGTCCTGACTTAAAAATTGTATTAACATGGTATTAATGCACATTTCAATTTATTTAGTGATAACTGGTGAATTGTGTATTAATACCGTATTACAGTAGATTTCAAAGTCTCGGAAAATGCTAATATTTTATTCATGCAATTTTGTCACGTTCTAACAATTTTTGCCAAAAAGAATATTTTATATCCCAAAACTTTTTGTAAATAAATAAATTTGTCAAGCGAGTGGCCGGCTTTAGGTGTGGCCAGACTAGTCAGACTAGAGGTCGGCCAGGCGTAACGAAGCTAAATAAGGTATCGACCTTGACAGATGAAAAGAATCGAGTAGCTTAGATATTTAGATAATCTTAGAATCGACAACCTGTAATCGAGTGTTCGGTGACGTAACTAGTTGACGTGAATAGTTGTCAGTGTGCTAACAATTGACAACTGTACTAATTGACCAATCAAGTCAAGAAACCAACCAACCAAATAAAACTGTTAACTATAATTTAAGTAAAACTCAATTGATTTTGGGCTAAGATTGCATTAAAATAATATAATAAAATGTGATGCTTAATTGATATGAAAGTAAAGCAGATCAAAAAATTCAAAATTTACTGCTCATTCACAATCAAAGTTAATTTACGTAGTAATTAATTTATTTTAACAATGGCATTTTAACTACTGAATAAAGTGTTTTCGGTTTTCGATAATATTTTATATATGTATGTATATGAATTGCATAATGGACTTACCACTTTTTGTAAAGCGTATGTATCAACTGTTCTTTCGCTTTCAATAATTTCCTGTAATAAATTATTACGTTGAATTTGTTCAGCAAGTGTTTGTTTTAATTTTTGATTTTCTTCAAAAATTTTCATTTTATCTGAATTAATATTTTGTTGTAATGGTTGGTGTTGTTGTTGATGTTCATTAAAATCATTTATATTATCATCATTAATTAATAATTTATCACAGGTTAATTTTAAATCTAATTCAGCTAATACGCTTTCAATTAATTTATTGTTAATTAATTCTGTTGAGTCATCATTACTACGATTAGTATCTGTCATATCGATATCTCTTTCAGCTTTTTCAATTTTACTTATTTCAATTTCTCTAATTAATTTTTTATTATTAGATGAAATTCCTTCTTCATTCGATTTATGATTTTGATCATTATCAGTTTTAATTATAACATTATTATTATTGAATTGTTTCTCTTTTTGGCAAGTTTCAAATTGTTCAAAACGATATTTAAACGTCATTAATTCTAATGTAATTTGTTTATTTTCATTTTGTAATTTTAACATTTCCTTATCTTTTGTATCTAATTCAATTCTAGCCAATTCAATATTTGTTGCAAATTCATCTAATAATGATTTCATATCTTTAATGTATGTTTCACGTGATTCATATTTCTTTTTTAATTCAACATACATTTCAAAATATTTATCAATATTTTCTTCAATACGTTCATTAAATAATTTACCAATTTTATTGACAGTTTCTAGTGTTTCTTCTTCAGACGTCATAAGTTTTTCGAAAATTGTTTCTTTTTCTCTCATTTCACGTTCTAAGGCTTGTGATGAATTACGTAATGCTGTTAAAGCATTCTTATATTCATCTAATTCGGTACGTAAACTTTTTAATTCTTCTTCAATTTGTTTATTTCTTTCTTCAGTTTCTTTTTTTGAATTTTGTGTTGCTTCCAATTCAATTTTTAATAATTCAACATCTGAATCGGATTTTTTTAAACGTTCCATTAATATATTGACAGTTGATCTTGTATTATTTAATGTCAACTGATAATTATATTTTTCTGTCATTATTCTTGAACATTCTTGTTTAATTTCATTAACTTGAGTTTCAAGTTGTTCACTCAATTGTATATAATAATCAATACCGTTAGTTAACTGCTCTTCGAATTTTTTTATTTTATTGTCACGTTCTCTCAGCATTTCATGAGCATTTTGAAGTAAACTTTTTAAATCTTGTTTTTCAAATTCACCTTGTATTATTTCAGCTTCAGCTATTTTTTGACATTTACCAATTTCACATTTCCAATGAGTTCTTTCACGTTCAACTGATTCTTGAATTGCCTGTTCTAATTCTTTAATTTTTTGTTCGTATTGAATTTCGGAAATTTTTAATTTTTCTTCAAATCTTTCATTAGCTCTTTCCAGCTCATTTTGATTATTGTTTTCTAAATTTTGTATTTTATCTTGATAGTCACGATTTAATTTCGCTACTTCGAGTATATGAATTGATTCACTCTCTTTAATTTTCATATCATTTATATCTTTTAATGTTGCTATTTGTTGTTCATATTTCTTTGTTATGTTATTTACTTCTTCTTGGAAAGATTCTCGTATTGAATCCCTATATGAATCTAAATCAATATCCTTTTCAGCTAATTCTTCTTTTAGAGAACTAATTAAATCTGAACGTTTTTCAATGTCCTCTAAAAGTTTTGCTTTTTCAACTTTAATATTATCAAGCTCCTTAAGCATTCTCTGATTGTCTTGAGCATACATTAACATATCATCTTGAATTTGTTTCTTAAGATTTTCTATTTCTCCCATTAAAGAAATATTTTCAGTTGATAATTTTTCTATTTCGGAACTTTTAGCCTGATCCTTATCCTCATAAGTTTGTAAAGCAAGTTTTATTAAACTAATTTCCTCTGAAAGAGTTTCAATTTCTTTTTTTGTATGTTGGTTTTCTTCAACAATTTTGCTATTCTCTTGTTGAAGTTTTTCTTTAAGCATTTCAACTTCAGTATTAGCACCAGTTAAAAATTGAATTTCACGTTCATGACTATCAAGTAAAAGTTTTATTTCATTTTCCAATTGTAGAGTTTTCTCTACTAGTTTTCTTTCATCATCTTTTAATTTTTCATTACTTTCTTTAAGAATTTCTAGTTCTTTTGACAATGTAGTAATTTTTTCATTTTTATCTGTTATGACAATTTCAAAATCAGTTTTCTGTTTTGCTTCAAATTCTTTCAACTGAATCAATTCGGAACGTAATTCTTCAATTTGATGAGCATATTCTTGAATCGTTTCATTTTTATTTTTTATTTCAATTTGAGCAGCTTCAAGAGCTTCTTTACCTCTTTTTACATCTTTTTGTAATTCTTTTTTAGGAGTTGAAACATCTGAATTTTGACGGAATCTTAAACGTTGTGGCAATGATGGCTAAATACAAAGTAATTTTGTAAAATATATTTTCGTTTTTAATGTCATTCAATATACTAATGTGTGTGTGTGTGAAATGACAGTAATTTAAATATTTTTGAATACTTACAGTTCGGAATAATCTCATTGTATCTGATTTTGAACTTTTTACAGATTCTGAATCTGATTGAGATGGTGTAGATGGTGCTGGTTTTTCTTTTACTTCTTTATCTTTGCTGGAAGTGCTATCTTTTAAATCTTTAAAAAATTTTTTGATTTGATCTTTCCGGTCAGAAGATGAGCAAGATGGAGAGTCCCCAACTAAAATGTAAGAAAAAAATATATGTAGTTTCAATAATAAATTTTTATATTTATCATTTAAAAATACGATTTTTGGTAATGAAATTAAGTAATAATTCATTGTGATTTTTGTTGATTTTTGTTTTTAAAAGAAATTGTCATTTTAGAATTACTCACAAATTCACTATATTTGTTGTGTATGTAGTAATTAGTTCTATTTATTGTGACGGAAATTTTCGCTGGCATAAATAAGGCGGTTGAAGTCAAACTTACATATATACACAACATTAATAATTTGTCAAATTAAACTTGGTTTTTTTCAACTATAAATGAACTATTAAACTGAGTCCGATTGCATGTGATATAGTAAATAGAAATTAATTAATAGTATTTCTCAGGACAGACCTCGGTGCATATGAAGATGTTACTCGGAGTATATAGATGTTAGGAATTAATTAAAGATAGTTGCCAAGACAGAACTCGGCTCATTGAAGATGTTACTTTAAACCAAACCATACCATTATGGAGTGCTTTAATACAGCTAGTAATAAATTGTGAGGTAAGATTTAGAAAGACAGATCTGCAATTTCGAAATGTTATAGTGTAGGAAATCATTTTTTTTTTAATTTTAAATAGAATCCTGTTTTTTAGTTTTCTACGTTTCATATACAATTAAAAATTTACCCAGTCGTTGCTTATCGGTATTAAAAATAAATTGAATGATTTTTTGATTATAACTGAAAATTACCTAATTCCATATATGTAGAGCTTGAAAACTTTAAGTCTTATTCAAAATTTCAAATAATTTCATGGACGAGCGTGCAGATATGTTCGTCTGTAGCCCAAAAACGAATATATCTACACCGCCACCCCGAATACCACCTCATCCATATAATTTTTTACTGGAAATTGAATCACAAATTATTTGCTACCTTATGTGAAATCCTTTGTATGTAATATGCAACGAGGTATGCTTTTTTGACATCGACTTATAGGATCAACGATATACACATACATTTTGTCAATACTTGATCAATTTATTGAACCTATTTTATTTTATTTAATTATTATTAAATTGATAAATTGTTCAATTGTAGAACTTAGTCTCAAAGTTAAATGTGTAAAATGTCATCATTTTTTTTTTTTTCAAAAACAAAATTCAAATTTTAAATTTATGATTTACTCAATACACGTTACTCGATTTATCGTAGTAATTTTTGTTTTCTGAGAACCACAAAATTTTATTGTTAATTCCAGTTTTACAAGTATATGAGAACTTATAAAATTCGTTATACCTTGAATTTTAATATTTTTAGAAGAAGAAAAAAATGCACATCATTTATCATAAATGTTAAAAAAATAAAATTTCATTTTGGAAATGTAAATTTCAGGGATTTCTCACATTTAATTTACATATTATGTAATTATATTTTGTGTTTTATTTTTATTTTTTCTAAAAATTTAAATTTTCCCATCTAATTTTTTTATACCACTATATTAAAAATGCGTAACTACTATTTATGCTTTTCTTGTTTTTTTTTTTCTTCTTTTATACATAATAATATTAAAACAGGATATAAGGCTTGGTTAACACATCCCATCTTCCTTTTTTTTTGTATGTATGTATGTACGTTTCCTTTAAAAAATTCCCTTCTTTTATATTATTAAGAAGGAAAAATGAGAGTGAAAAGAAAGGAAAACAAAAAATTACAAACTACAATAGAAAAAATTTTCGTCGTCTTATTGTTTCTTTTTTTACATTTTTACTAAATCTTCCACCGTTAAATATGACACTTCCCTTCCTTTCCTTTCCTTGTACTTATACGTCATATGATAATAATTATTATTATTGTAAAATATCAAAGTGATGATAATCATCATCATCGTCATCATTATCAATTTAATGATCAAAGTTCAAAGTACTTTCTTCCCATGAATTCCCATTCCTATTTATTGAAAGATCACATTATAAACACACATAATGTACATTATATGAATACGACAATACTGTCATAATAGCTACTGTGAATAAGAAAACAAAAATCTATTGTTTAATTTGGACATTTTAAATTTTGGTGTTTTCTTCTGTATAATAATAATAATAACAAGGAGTTACAATCATTTCACAAAAATATAGTGAATTTGCACACATACATATTATACATACATATGTACATATTATGTAAGGTTATTCCAAGTTTAAAGTTCCATAAATATAAAATGATCTTCCCTATATAAAGTAAATGTGTTTGACTAGAGTTTAACGTTGCGTAAAATGAAAAGTTATTTTATAAAAAGTAAAAATTCCGGTACATTAAAATTAAAATTCCTATACATGAAGATTGTAGAATATATTATTATGTGTGTGTGTATAGTAAAGTTTATTTCATATTTTTTCAGTTATCAAAACTTTTCTCATACTAAACAAAATGATTGTGTTAACCTTTTTTTTTTCTCATATATTTTGATGGGAGAATAATAAACGTCGCATTACTATATTTCTATATGCATATGTATATAAAAAGGACTCCTTTTGATCCTTATACAATATCGACTTTAATTCATAAAAATATAAATCTTTTATTCGATAATATTATGTGTGTACATTTTAATAATGCACTGGTTTTTGTTCCTTAAAATTTAAAGTTTTTATCAAAAAAAAAAAAAAACAATAGTATTGTATAACTGATTTTTAAGATTTAGGGGGAATGAGTATTTTTTAAAAAGTTAAGAATGTCGTAATAAAAATCACCTTTTCATTTTATTCAAGAAATTTTGTTGTTTTTTTTTTTTTGCCGTTATAGTAGGTATAGAAAATAGTAATAAAAAAATTCCCGCTTAATATCAAGATCGGGACGCATAATATGGGTAACAAGAGTATTTTTGATATTAAAATCTTAGAGAAATTTACAATATGTACGTAAAGGAAATAAGAAACAAAACAACTTTAAATGTTAAAAAAAAGTAAAATCCAGGTGTTCTTTAATCATAATTCTATAAGTACCTACATAATAATATATGAAATTAAAATTACATTTTAACAAATGTCGTTCGTTACTGATTTTGTTGTATTTTCTATAAAAATTTACCAATAATTGAAAAGAAAATTGCGCGCTTTTTTTTTCTTCTTTCTTTAAATTTATAAGTAAAGGTGCTGCCGTATTTTAAATTTATTGTTTTTCATTACTTTTATTTCATAATTTCTTATAATACTTATGTGTTTTAATGGGATTTGATTTTAACCCCCAAGTCATATTGAATTTTATTATAATTATGTAAAAAAAATTCTTCAATTGAATTCATTTGATTCTTGACATGTCATACAGTTTTATATTTTATAATATGCGCATAAATATGCTTATACAAGCGTATTTACGTTGTGTAATAATAAGTACATTACGTGAAGATATTTGTTATCCAACGGAATTTGACAAAATTAAGGAATTGGCAAGTCAAAACTTACATTATGCCATTAAAGAAACAAAGGATAGAGAGCGACGTTATGACGAAAATCTTGAAACTAAATAGAATAAATTTAATATAAAAAATATTGCAGGATGAGATATGAGCATAAATTAGAAGTTTTAAAGGTGATTATTCGCCATAAATGCAAATATAGCGAATTCGCCAAGATTTTTTCACTCGTCACAAGATGATATGGTGAGTGAAAACGTATAACCAACTACGTAAGATATAATTTGATAATTACACAATAGTATGCATTATCCGAATTATTTTTCATTAAAATAATCCAGTCCGCCAAGGGTAATATGACAAGATCGATAGTGTAATTTTGATTTACTGGAAGAATATATTGATCAATTCGTTATACATTCAAATTATGTAAATGTAAAATTTTATAAAAATCGGTTATCGTGAAATTGAAGTATAATGCAAAAATGCACAGACAAATATTCTTTTAGGTTAAACTGGTTTGTTAACATTTCTTTAATATGCAAAAAACTTCCCATTTGAAATTTGGTGCGATTACAACAACTACGTGAAACCGAAGCTTAAAAGGTTATTGCCCCAGAGGAACAGCAGTTGCAAATCCTCAATTGGATTAATAAACATATGTATGTAAATTAATATTAAAATATCCAACAATAGCGTATCCACCAAAATGCCGACAGAGAACACGGCTGTCGGCGAGAGCTTAGTTGAATGTGTAAGACGTTCGGAGCCGTTGCCAGTGATAAAAAAAAACACTTGGCGAAAACAATAACCCGTTTTGTAACACCTCAAAGGTTACAAGATCTCTCTATTGAGAGTTAAAAATAAAACCGTGTAAGAAGGTTTTATAACCTTCTGAAAGAAGATCTGAAGAAGACGAAAAATTCAAAAGTTTTTAAGGTAAAAATAAAAGCCCGTTAGTTCAAGAAAGTAAATTAATATTCGATTTACGTATAAGCGATTTGGAAAACTTGTGAAAGAGTTAAGCAAACTCTTAAGTCAGTCTAATATAGTTTCAAATGTCATCGAGAATAACAAGAGGAATAATGGACTGCACGCAGCAGATGGGGAAGAATGGACTAGAGAAACTGAATGAATTTTTAAAATCCAAAAAACATTCCAAGAGGAAAAGGTTTTTTTTGGTTTCTGTTTTATTTGCTCTATTGTAAATCTGTATACGCTATAAATTATTCATAATTAAATTGATCAGGAAATTGATCAGGAATTATGGGATTAAGAAAAATATCAACAAATCTTTACAAAATTTGAAAATCCATCAATAATCCATCAATCATTTGAATTTAACTAAGTTATTAGGAAAATATATAAGGTGTATAAAATAGTATCATGTTTCCGACGTGACCCATAAACGCATTCCTAAAATTTCCTATATCAATAATGTGCTGTAAAAATAGTAAATGATAGGTAAATGTATGGCATATTTGTTTTTTGATTTGTTTTTTATTTCAAATATTTGTTTATTGTTAGTGGAAAATTTTATTAGAATAAATTGGTGCAATCCATTTAAGATAATAATGACATAAGTCAACGAATAGTTTTCTGAGTAAAACTTATTAAAAGAATGAGTAATTTTTATTCTATTATTTAACAAACTTATAAAATGTTGTAATCCTCTCTGTTATAATAGTGCAGCAAGAGAGAATGAGTGTTTGTTTGCAGCTTTTATCAGTTCTGGTCTTATGTACTTAGAGCTACACTGCGATAGAACAAAAAAAAAAAGAAATACTGCCAATAAAAACGTCAATGATAAAACAAATAAGGCAAATATTGTAAAATTGAAAATAAAAAACAAGCTGCAATGAAGTATTAATTTTTTTGCTGCAAATTATGCAATAAATTTATAAAACGTGCTGCGATTTCAGCCTTAAGGTGGAAGGGCAAACTAGAACTCAAACAGACTTGTGTTGTAACATTGTAGTTTATGTTGTAAAATTTAGTGTAAATTTTCGTATGCTGTTTGAAGTTGTGTCTCTTAAGGTATTAAGTGAAAGGTTGGTTGTTCTTGTGCAATAATGTCAGAATTTTATTTTTGATACGTTGCTTATAATATTGAAGTAAGAAACGATTGTTAATATCTAAGAAAAATATTTTTAGCGTTTTCATAATTTATTTAAGGTTAAATTTTAATTGCCAAAGTTCTTTAAGTGTTTTTAGTGAAAAATTAAATTCTCTGACTTATGCAGTTATTCTTCTCAACTAAAAATATGATAAACAAATTGTGAGAATATTTCTTTTTCCTATAACTTTGAATTAGTTTGTAATGGCTTTTTTTTTATCTCCAATA